CGGCTCACATTGATGGCTCTTCTCCTTGAAGTGGATAGAAACACAATTTGACTGGCTGCTTCCAGTCCCTGCCATCTTGACTTCCCTAAGCGATAGACTGAAAACTCAAGCTGTGCACTTAAAAATAAGTTCCAATTCTTCTAAGTTGCTTTTTTATCAGGGTATTTTATCACAAAAACTAAGGCACATGCTGCATGATACACTGGATGCTATCAGGAGCAGTGAGCCATAGTAAGCAATCACTGATCACAAGGACCAACAGCTCAAAATATAGGAGAATGTGTTTCTAAGCTATGAAGCTCAGCAGGTAAGGTGTATTAAATGCATTACCACCTTTAAGACATATTCAACTTGTAACTGAAATTGTAAGCCAAGGAGATCCACATACCAGGTATAAAGTGTTTGGCACTATGAGTGAAACTAAAAGCTGTAGACACAACTTAAATATGTTGAAGAAATATTAGTCCTCTAAGAGTTTGATGACATTTAGTGACTCCTTGCACACAATAGCTAAGTATACATCTAATACAATCCTTCAAACAATACTTTCTTCCTGAGATAGGATTTCTTGCTAACAGCAAAGATAAATGTAACCAGAGTCACCCACTTTAACAACCACCGTTCATTCTTGACAAATCACACGAGAACAAAGGATACTTCAGAAAATCAAAATCAGAAAACATTACAGGTGATGAAGTTATGCATTATGTCTTGCAAACTACTGTAACTCAGGGCAATGCTTAACAAGGAAGGACATGTCGGATAATATTTTAATTCAAGAAACAAACACAACACAGATACTATCCTGGGTTACTTTGACAGAGGAAACTTTAAAATGAAAATACAAAGGAACTTCACAGATGACAAGGAATTTTGTGAAATAATTACAAGAAAGATTTTAATGAGTGAAATAACCAGACTCAGAAGGACAAAAATTGAATATTTGCTCTTATCTTTGGAATCTAGATTGCAGGGTATGAAATCGGAAAGGAAGAACTTGGGGAGAACAAGGGGATTACAAGATGGGAGACAAAGTGGGGCAGAAAAGAGTATGATCGAAGTGTGTTACAGACATGAATAAAAATGTTGTTGTATAGTCAACATACACTGATCAAAAAAAAAAAACTAAGGATTCTGAAGAATGGGTGAGACTAAACCTGATGGTTCTGATGCCATATTTAATGCTAAACCAATTATAAATGGCAAAAGGGTAAGGAAATGAGACAAACCAGACCATCCTGAAGTGTTAGTATTTAAACATGCACAACCAAAAAGACTGAAAATGATGAGCTCACAAGCTGTATTCAGTTCAACACCACTAAGAATCTGAGACAAAACTTCAAAGCACTGAAGTCAATCTGAGGATTTGCACACATGGCACACTCCCACAGTCCCAGAACTCAGAAGGCAGAGCTTGGAAGATAAGAAGTCCCAGGCTCTTACAGCAAGCTTGAAGTCAACCTGGGCTATGTGAGACCCAACCCCAAAGTAAACAAAGAGAACAAGAGAAAAATACAAAACATGCCAATCCTGCCAACCTGAGTGCAATTACACAGGACTTACACAGTGGAAGAAGAGAACTGACTCTCCCCAAGTTATATTGACATCTGTACATACACTGTGACATGTAAGCACACAAACATATGCACACACAGCAGATTAAAAAACAAAAAAAACAAAAAAAAACAAAAAACACTACTATTACCAATAAAAGAACCTGAAGTCTGGGAAAAGATGGCTCTATTAGTAAAGTCCTTACCTTATAAGTTTAAGGATCTGATTTGATCCCCAGTACTCTTGTAAAGCAGCCAGGCACCAGTTCAATCCTCAAAAGCCACACAATGAAAGGAAAAACCAGACCTTTTCAAAGACATTTATTGACATCCACACATGTCAAAATGTGTGCACCCTCCCCATACCCCCCAAACTAAATCCCTATGCTCTGGCTTAATTTATTTACCGCACACTTGTGTTCTCTGTTATCGATTATCACTGCAGATACTAAAGACAGGGCACTCCTGAGATCCTGACCAACACCACACAATGGCTCACATATGCTTCTTTTCTAATTCTATAGTCTGAGCCATTGAAGCCCAAAGGGGAAACAGGAAAAAGGCTTCCCCAGAAAACTCTACTTTAAGCCTGGTCCATTGCACAAAGGAAGCGGGGACAGGAGGACAACAGAAAGCTCAGAGCCATCCTGGGATGCACAATGAGTTCAATGACAGCCTGGGATAATAGCTAATTCCTGTCTCAAAACACAAAGAAAAAAATTTGTTTCAGAAAACAAACAGTGGGGCTCATTTGCCATCTAATGGCTATCTTTAATGGCTTTACTAGGTACTACCAAGTAAAACCCTCATTTCCATTACTATTTTATGTTTTATTAAGACTTCATTATCAGCTGTCAAAGATATCCCCGCCCCCCCCCAAACTGTTAGGACAATTACATTTAACCTACACACATCTGAAAGGGGTACAGGAAGTTAAAGATGTGTGGCCTTTAAAATATAACTCTACTTGTTATAACATTTAGTAGAGTTAGACATAGTCTACTGTCTTAAAAGTTTTTTGGGGTGGGGATGCCTGCCTTTGGGGGTCAGAGGGGGGAAAAAGACAAATGAATAAATGCACACTAACACCAAGCTTTAGAGCACAACTCCCAGTGTACACTGTGGTTTGTTTTAATTTTTCAAAGGACACACTTTTTAAAAATCTTTTCTTTCTGGGGCTGGAGTGATGGTTCAGGGGTTTAGAGTGCTTGCTGCTCTTTTTGAGGACCCCAGTTCAATTCTCAGCATGCATATATGGTGGCTAACAAAAACCTGTAATTCTAATTCTAGGAAATCTAATGCCCCCTTCTGGCCTTCTAGAGCACCAGGCAGACATAGACATACAAGCATTATTGTTGAGGGAGATTTGTTTGTGTTGTTGCTCCACGAGCACCAAAGGAGTCAGGCTTTAGTTAGAGGGTGGGGTCCACATTCAGCTGGCGGGGTAGACCATTGAGTTTTTTGTCAGACATACAAGAGGAATAAGAAGGGGCCAAAGGAGAGGCACCGACTTTTTGAGTGGTGAATTGTGGGCAGAAGAGGTCACTGATGGCTTTCTCTATTGCTCTGTGTATCTATCACAGAGCATGTGTATTTACCCTAATATAAAACAATAAAATAAGCCACTTTATCTGGCATCCAATGTGGGGTGAGATCAAGCAGTGACAGTCACCAGCCCCAGGAAGGGTTTTGTATGCTGCAATCTCCCCACAATACTGTGTCTGGTGCACAGACATAGGAGTAGACAACATATACACATCAAATGAAATAACTTAAAAACAAAATCTTCTGTGTGTGTTCATGTGTGTGAACACTGGCATGGAGGTATCATGGCACACATGGAATTCAGAGGACAACTCTGGGTGCTGGTCCTTGCTTTCTATGTTCTAAGAGATGTCTCTCCCATTGCTCACCATAGTCCACAAGAGTCTACAACCTTCCCTTTGTCTAGGAGTGGAAAGACTGGCACTGTCTTTTTTCTTTTCTTTCTTTTTTTTTAATAGTTTCTGAGGATCAGAAGTTGTATACAATCCACTTTATCCACTAAAACTTCTCAGCCCTCAAATGATATTCCTAACTGTCCAGTCATCATTTACACACCTGTATGCAAAAAGATGTTTTCTGTAAAGCTTCATTGCTTTGCAAATAATAGACAACTTTATAGATATTTTCCGAGCCCAAGAAGCCAACATCATCTCCCCAGAAAGACAACATGAGACCATCCGTGGGAGAAGACAGCAAAGGCTGTTAATGTAAAGCTCCTATTTGGACTACTAGGAACTATAGGAGCATATTGACTTTTGGACTTGATAACAAGATCTCTTTTACACACTGATGAATTCAAACATAATTGTCATGCAGACTATAATTTCATACGAAGAACTAAAGAAGGTATGTATATGCACTTATTATACTATTTTGTAACGTTTCCAGGTGTTTGAAATTACTCAAGAAAAAAATACCTAGTCTTACAACTCTGAATAAGTCTGATTCAGTACACTCTCATTGGTGGAAACTGAAAGGTCTTTCCTTGAAAACACTTCAGAGAAAAAGAAACAAGAAAAGCAGACGTACTTCTGTTCTGAGACTGATGGACGGAGTGTGTCCTGCTTCGTTCTGGAGAGTAGCTTCTACTGCTGAGACTGGAGCCAGATCTGCTGTGTGGGGAGTCCTTCCGGCCTACAGGCGACTCTCTGAAAAAAGGAGCGTCCCTTTTATGGGGAGATCGTTCTCTTGAATAATGGGAAGAGTAGAAACTTTTTCTTCTAAAGCCATCTCTCATGTCCCTTTGAAGGAAAAAAAAAGTTAAGTTAATTATATCCTTTACATCTGAATACACAAATGGCAAAAGATCTGATTACACACACTACTCTATCTATAATGAAGTCTTGGCTCCCGTTTTATAACAGTGATGAACAGTTGAAGTCACTTAACAAAGTGAAACTTCAGAAAAACATGACTTAGAATGTACTACTTTTCACAGCCTGGAATAGAGCTGTGAAGAAACAGTCTCTACTAGTCGCAGAAACACCTAGGAATTGCAAAATTTTCCAAGAAAAACAGCTCAGAGCATTCCCTTATAAATACAGTATGGTCATCTCTCACCCAAAAGCCCCGAAATATGAAACCTATATTCACTAGCACAATGATGTCCAACCCATAAAGTTTATGTAAATGTTTCAAAAAAAGAAATCTGAACTCCTTATCTCAAAAGCATCTCTGAAAAGAGAAACTCCGCCTGTATATACTATTTATTGACTTTTGTCTCCAAACTTAGTAGCTAGAGTGTTTTTTCATGGCTGTTGGGGTACAGACGGCATTGGTGGGTGTAAGGGGCCGTTTCCTGCATTATAATGGTGCCTGAAGACACCAAGATGTAAATTACTTCACAGGCGCTGGGTAATCTCCATTCCTTTGATCTCTGCCTATCCCGTGGCTCATTTTGGCCTGAGGAGCTGAAGCCATTCATAGGGTAACACGTCCCAGGCGGCTGGTCAGCCTTTATAAGGGATGGTTTTCTTGGTTTAGTGTCTCCGCTCTGGGAAGCTTATGCTCTTTCACTCTCAAGATGCATTAAAGCTTGTCTGCAGAAGGATCCGAGTGTCCCGTGTATGATTTCTTGCTGGCGAGAAATACAGAGCGTGCGCGGGACAGGTGGGTAGTGGGCAATGATGCCGCCAAAATCCTGTAATACCCAAGAAACCAAAGCCACATAAACTAAAGAGTGTCATCTAAGCCAAAAGTTAGCAATCGAAATCCTGTCTGTAGCTGTTAAGTGGTTACTCTCCGATCTGTGTCCTCAGTGCACAGACTACTGTCAGAGCCAGCTCTGGTCAGATATAAAAGTCTCCTTTACAAGAGACTTGGCGACCTCCATGCTAAACGCCAATTTAGCCAAGCACCCCAACCCTTAGGTTAGTGTTCGAGATAAACCACAGGAAAGTTCCGGACACCTGCTCAGGCCTGAGAGCATTTAACACCCATTCCTCCCCTCTCCCTTACTTCCTCTTTCTTTACTTCCTCCTTTCTCTTTAAAAACTCCTTGCCTATAATCAATAAAATTAGACCTTGACAAGGACACTGCTTGGTCTCGCTCTTTCTCACCCATTTATTTTCAGGCTTAGTCCCCCTCTCACCCAGGAATTACCAGAACCCCGAGGGCCGGGGCAGACTGCTATGAGGCCTACCATCTTTATAAATCACTGTGACTTTTGCAAATCCAACTTCATTATTAAGGAGTATCAATTGGAGTAAACCTATTAATAAAAGGTAGGCAGGGCTGAGTTTGTAGTGATTACTTTGCATGCATGACTCTATGGTTTGATACTAGCACTGAAAAAAGGAGAAACCAAAAGAGGCAGGGAGGAAGAGGAGAAAAACTTTATACAGGAGAAACATCAAAGTAAATCAAACTTATTAAGTGGATCAAGATATAAACCTCTATAAAATATAAAAAGAAAAAAGAAAGGAATGAAAACAAACCTGTAAACAGAAAACTCAAAGTTTAATTAAGTAGACTTTCATTTTGTAACAATTTTTTTCTTTTTTGTCTGTTTATTTTTGTTGTTACTGTTCTGAGACAGACAGGGTCTTACTCTTAGCCCAGGCTACTATGTACAGCACTCTTCCGACTTCAACTTCCCAAGTACTGGCATTACAAGTGCCTACCACCGTGCCTACCAAGGCACAGTACCTCATACAGACAAGTGCTGATACAAACCAAGGGCATCAATTTTTTATTTTACCTTCCTTTCCCAGTGCTAGAGATCAAACACAGGGCTTTTCTGGAAATAACTTTTAAAAGATCAGTTCCCACTTCACAAGCAAGCTGGTTGTCTGAAAGTTCAACTGAGCACTAGCTAATCAAGCCCCTAAATACACTGCTCTACAATAGCAATTACATTTCCCTAGTAAAAAGTAAAAGCATCTAAAGTTCATCTAAATGAACTCATATAAAGCACGAATACTGAAATAAAGCACTTCAGATCCCAAGGTAATTAAGTCAGGGTCACACCAACATCTCCAGTCAGCCAGTTAGCTATGTACATATTCAGCAGGTCATAAGAACTGTACTGCAGACCCAATGAAGAACCAAATCTACCACAGGTGCTACAAGCCCCTCTATCACTCAACTCTGAGGACAGGAAGAAAAGCTGACATTAAACACATACATACAATACATGTAGACGTAATCAAGAAGAGCTGTGTGGGGACTAAAGGGGGATTTATGGATTCCAGGAAAAAAATAATAATAATAAATAATAAATAATAATAAATAATCTTAGAAGGAATGATGACTATCTAGCTAAGCATGAAAAACACAGGATGCTGATTCCCAGACTTCTACCATGACTTATTAGTGAAATGACAAAAGCCAACACTTTGAGAAATGGGAATGGACTGAGATGGGATGATCCACATCTGGATGTTAAGTGTGAAGTACTAGGCAAGCAACCAAAGACAGCAGTCTTAGGTTCTGAAGAGACTCTGGGCTATCACTTTACACTTCCATACAACGGAGCAGGATTTAGACCTGTGAGTACAGATGGCCAGGAAAAGAAAACTTACTCCAAGGACAACAAAGATGGTCTACTGAAATTTAACGGTCCTTATTGACCTTATTGGAAGAGAATGAACAGGACCCTAATCAGGGAAAGGTACCATCTGCTTCTTCCTTTGAAAAGATTAACTACTGAGCAAGAGTTTCTAAATCCCAACACCAGAGGGCAGTCAAATCAAAGCACAGCACAGCTCAAATGAGTAGTGAGCTTCTCGGCCACTTCACATCAACCCCCTACTGTTCACCATTGGCAAGTCAGTGGTAATTTGTCAGATATACAGGTATGAATATGCACATTACTTTACAGGTGCTGTGGAGAACCACCTGGCTTTGGGAAGTTTAGCATTTCCTCAGAATCTGTGACAGGATCAATAGTAAATGTCCAAGGGGGCCGGTTCTATAAAGTGGTATATATGAACCAGTAAGGTTTTCTTGGGGGAGGGCAGTGGCAGGGATGGGTATTTGGCTTTTACATCATCACCACAGTCCATCATCCAGGGAAGTCAGGGCAGGAACTCAAGGTCGTGACCTGGAGACACAACTGAAGCAGGGATCATCAAAGAATGTTGCTTCCTGGCTTGACCCTCAGGGCTTGTGGGCCTGTTTTCTTTTCTCTCTTTCAAGCTTTCATTTTTTTCTTTTTATATTGGAAATAGATTATTCATGCAGTGTATTCTGATTAACAGTTTTTCTTCCCAACTACTCCCAGATCTTCCCCACCTCCCCATCCACCCAAATTCACATACCCAGATTCACAAGCAGAGAAAGCTTGTCAGCTTCACAACACACAGAGAGGGATCAAAAAGTATTGTGTGAAAAGTTAAGAGAAACTAAAAAGCAAAGACAAAGCATAAGAGAGTTAAGGAAACTTGTTACGAAATACTGCAGATGCTGAAAAAAATCTATATTTAGGATCTAAGGTCATGTGACCTGTCTGTCTAGTAAACATTGGGGGAAACCAGGTTATGAGAAATCAAACACCTGTACTCCAAGTGTCAAACCAATGTTTTTCTTAAAAAGGCAGGGAGAGAGAAATTTGTACAGAAGGGACCTAGAGCTGATCTTGTTTTGATGGTAGGTGCTTACCTGCTGTGGAAGGTGAACAAAAAAGCCATCTTACAGAATGGGAAGTGAAAATCCAACACACAAGAATCTAATAAAAAAAAGGGGAGCAAATGTTCAATAGAAAAGATAAAACAGGAGAATGAAAAAGAAGGATCATAAAGGAAAACGTAAGGAAAGGATAAACTGGAATTTCAAATAGAATGCCTCGTCCCAGCAAGTGACTCCAAAGGCTGCCAAGAGAGAGCAAGCAGTGAGTCAAGAAGACAAAGCTGGATGGCCCCAGGATTCTGTCAGCATCCCCTATGAGAGCAACAGACACAAATCTAAGGAGGCATCTTCCCTAGCCACAGCAGAACCTGCAGGCAGGCCCAGAACTCCGCATTCTGGATTCTGAACTTCAACAATGCTTCCCTGGAGACCCTGCTCACAAAATTCCTTTGAGAAGAACTGAGAAGGGAAGCCATACTAGTGTGTAAGCATATACTTGTCTAACAGAATGTCTGCAAGCTAGAAAACAGAAATTCAGAGCTCGGGACATATACCAGAGAAGATTCTAAGGTCTGACCATACCTGATCGGAGATATAGCTGAAACATGCAAAAAAAGAACTGTTACAACATGTGTTTTCAGAGATGGGCATGTATCATAGTTTCAGGGCAGTCTGTCTTCTATAAACATCTTAAGAGCAGTATCACCCAGTGAAGGAAAAAGGGGAAACACTAAAATCATCTGCATTAGCCTACTAAATACTGAAAGACTTTTCCAAATTAACTAGTAAGAAGTATATATAAGAATCTAAAGGGCTTTAAATAAATAAATAAGTGCGTGTGTGTGTGTGTGTGTGTGTGTGTGTGTGTGTGTGTGTGTGTGTGTGTGTGTGTGTAAACTGAGTGTAGTGTACATGCCTTTAATCCCATCCTAGCACTCAGAAGACAGGCAGACAAATCTCTGAGTTAAGGCCAGTCTGGTCTACATAGTTCTAGGAGAGCCAGAGCTACATAGTGAGACCCTGTCTCCGAACATGCTAGGCAAGGGGTCGACCACTGAACACACAGCAGCCCCTCAAGAAGCAGATTCTAGGACTGGAGAGATGGCTCAGTGGTTAAGAGCACTGACTGTTCTTCCAGAGGTCCTGAGTTCAATTCCCGGCAACCACATGGTG